CATTGTGGGGGGACCTCTGGCAGCGTGCCCACACTAACTCCAGTGGCTCTAGCAGAGCACCGGTAACACGGCCCCTGGGCGCGCGCGCACCGCTGCGCGCAGAGCCCTGTCTTAGAAGCAGGTTTTTTTTGCTTTTGTTTGGGATTAAATCTTGTGAATTGCTGGTGCAGTAATTATGCGAGTGACTCTGTGATAGGGACCATTTAGTTCAAGACTCTCCATGACCTTGAAGTTGAGACCTTACCTTCTTCCTTTCCCCCCTTCCACTTTCTCTTACCCCTCCTTTACTAGCTGTCACATATGAATAAACTACATTAAAATAACAAACCCACACTAATTAGCTGATTGTGCTGGGAAGTGTGAGAGCAGAATTTCCTGTGTGAGAGCGAGCTAGCGAGCGGGCAAAGGGCCTGATCAACTGATACTAACCCAGCGCGATTTTCTCCCGTACGACTGCTTCACACCAGCGTAGCGCTCAGGGCGCTTACCTCCCAGCGCTCTCAGCCTTTGTACTGGTTCTCTCTGGCCCCGTGCTGGTTCTCTTCCCCGAGACCATGAGTAAACCCCATTCAGTGAACTCCTTGCCTTCCCTGGGGTTGGAATCGGGGAGCTGCTTTCTCTGCTGCGGGTGCTTGGGGCTTTGCTCACACGGGTGCAGTTACGGGCGGGTGCGATTTTGGCCGCTGTCATCTTGGCCAACGGGTGTGGGATTGAACGGGGGACCTAAAAGCGGGTGGTGCTGCAGCTGGCATGAGAGAGCAAGTTAGGCTTGGAGCAGGTTTCAGACCCCGCGTGAGTCAGGAGCAAAGGCTGATCCGTACCATGGTCACCTTCGGGCCGTGCAGTCATACCCAGGATGGACTGCCTGAGATATTCGAGGCCGTCTGAGCCCAGTTCAGTCCCAGCGTAAACAGGTGTTTCTCTCTTGAGGTCAGCGGCACAGCATCCTTTGGAGCAGCGGTACCGAGTGGGCCTCGCACCGGGCTCTCCAGCCTGGGCTTCCCCGCAAGGCTGAGGAAACAGGTGGCGGTCCCACTTCTCAAAGAATAACACCAGCCGTGTTTTAAGGCCAGTTCAGTTGGGATCAGCCATTTGCTGTTTGGGTTCAAGTTGCCTGATCCTTCTAACGCCCTTGCTTGCTTCTTTCCCCTCTCTCTTTCCAGCTGAAAGAACTATATGCACTGACGCAACCTCAGGAAAACCCACGATGGCTGCCAAGCGCAAAGGCGGCCTGAAGCTAAACGCGATCTGTGCCAAGCTCAGCCGCCAGGTGGTCTTCGATCACGGGGGAGCCGAACAGGCACGCGTGGACAAGGGTCCCCAGCGGGAGAGCAGCAACAAGGACCTGCCGCAGCCAGGGACCAAGGAGCTGGGGACTGAGTTTTCAGATGGACTCGGCAGGAGCGTGCAGAAGATCGAGGAGGACAAACGGAGGGAGGTGATTGAGAAGTGGGTGAACGGGGAATACGAGGAGCCCTTGCTGGGCCGCGCCGAGGGCAAGGAGTGTAAAGGCGCCGAGAGCGCGGAGGTGCCCCCCGAAGGGGTTTACATGGTGCAGCCCAAGGGCTGCAGCGACGAGGAGGACAACGGGGACGAGGCAGACGCTCTGCGGGGCTCGCAGGACGGCAGCTTCTTGGATGACAGGGACTCGGACGGGCCGGCCTCGAAGGACGACACGTACCGCTCCGCCAGCGGCGAGGCGGCCCCCAAGCTGGGCGGAGGAGCCACCTCAGGTAAGGCCCTTTGCGGGGGGCAGCTTCGGGGCTCCCGCTTGCCGCAGGCGGACCGGGGTGTTGCCGTCTGTCTGGCAGCAAAGGAGAAGGACGAAAGCACCTGGATGCGCTTGCAGTAGCCAGCCTGGCTGCTGGGGATGTTGCTTCTGCCACTAA